GCGCGAACGCTCGCTATACGGCGCGAGCGTGGAAGAACATTCGCGAGCCCATGCGCTGGAACATTCGCGACAAGGCGCGTGCGGCGAGGCGCGCGCGAGAACGTTCGCGAGCCAGAACGTTCGCGAGCCAGAACGTTCCCGAGCCAGAACGTTCGCGAAAAACAATCGACTATATAAATCGGCCGGTTCGCGATCAATCAGTCAGTCGATGTCCAGCTCGCACACCGTACACTCCAAGAGTCAACGCGCGTTTCCATTTCTGTACAAAGTCCAATTTTACAGTTTGTTGTTGTAGTTTCTAGTACATAGTTAATTACTTTAGTCTGTAAATAGTTAAACGTTTATTTTAATAAAATAGTTAAGTTATTTAATCCGCGTAATTAATCCACGCAACCACTTCACTGGCAATATAGATGACCAGGTTGTGATAATTGTAGTCTATGTAGATGATTGGCTGTTAGCACCAAAGTCATTAGAAGTATTTCGTAAAGTAAAATTAGAATTGAGTAAAGTTTTTAAAATGAAAGACTTAGGGCCAGTAAAGGAAATGCTCGGAATATGGATTGAAAGGAAGGAAGATACAGGGTCGATTAAAATTTCACAAAGCAAATATATAAAGAAATTAATAGAAAAGTTTGAGATGAACGAATGTAAACCTGTATCTACTCCATTAGCTTTAGGTATTAAATTGTCGCGGGAAATGGAGCCAAAGACCCCTGATGAAACAAAGAGAATGGAAAATAAGCCGTATAAAGAATTAATAGGAAGTCTCCTTTCCTTAGCTAACACCACGAGGCCCGATATATCATTTATAGTAAGAGCGTTGAGCAGGTATAATATAAATCCAGGCCTACAACACTGGAAGTGTGAGAAACATGTCATCCGTTATTTGAAACGGACACTAGACTACGCGATAATGTATCGAAAGACGGGAAAACTTTTGTATGCGTATATAGACGCGGATTGGGCCGGCGATCAGGACGATCGCAAGTCATGTTCAGGAAGTGTGCATATTTTGGCAGGAGCTCCAATAAGTTGATTCTCCAAGAAGCAAACTACTGTGGCCCTTTCGACGATGGAAGCCGAAAATGTAGCTCTTTCTGAGACAACGAAAGAAACTATACATTTGCGTAGACTGATTAAAGAAATATACGGGAATGAGTATGTGAGTGGACCGACAGAGACTTCGTGTGATAATCGGAGCACTATAGTGTTAAGTAAAGAAAAGATGCTCCACCAAAGAAGTAAACACATAGAGATTAACCCTTAACCGTTTTAGTGCCAGAGGTTTTTAAAAATCCATGTCGAATTGTGCCATGAAGCGCGATAGCGCTTCCTTCATTTATCTGCGAATAATGCCGATCGACGCGGTCGCGCCGCTCTTTTTTTTCGTCGAAATATGCCGCTCGGCGCACTCGCGCTTTAGATTGATAGGCAATTTTTAAATATTGTTAAAAATAAACCTTGGGACTCAATGTGTTAAAGAAAGACAGCTAATTATGCAGGTTGTTTACGATTATTTGAAAGAAAATTTGTAATTACGAAAGGAAACTCTCGACAGACTCGCGACAAAAATTGACGATCGTCATCAAAAATAGCGACACGGTTCACCACAGTATGCGAACAGCGCGATCGCGCTGCGTGGCACTAATAAAACGGTTAAAACTAATAAAACGGTTAAAGAACGAGCGCATTTTTCTAAAACTATGACCAGTAGGTCGACGGATTTTTAAGAAATTAAGTGCTTCATTTCCAGAGCGAGAGAAGGTGCATAATTAATATCGCTTTATTGGATTTTATAAAAACTTACCGGAATAATAGGTAGTATATGAACAGATATGTCCATACAAAAGCTCACTAAAGTGAAAATTTCAGAAAAATAATAAGAATTGAAATAAACAAATAGATGCGTGTATGTAATGTATAGATTTGTATACATTTATAAATTTATTTTTTATAGTTTAACGATATATTTACACAAAATTACTTATATTTTTTTTGTGTGTGGTACTTCTCCCAACAGTCCCCAATGTGAATACCAGGTTTTTTACTACAAGTATCGCAATAATTACGTGTTTCCCGCCTTCCTCCCGGCGTTTTTCTATCCGAGCAAACAACGCAATCTTTTTTTGTACCTGTACGAATAACGTGAAATTTTCTGTCCAACCTGTCTTCTGTTTGTAAGTTCGATGCCCGACGTTGGGGTTGCGCTGGTGTTCTAAAGTCACCCCTTAATTGTTCTACCAATATTTTCCTAAATTTTAAATGTGAAACTGGCTTCAAATTCATCTGTTGTCTTTGTTGTTGGTATATTATGTATGAATTGACGCAGCAAATTTCCAATCCCCAGAAAAACAGCTTTCTCCACCATTTTAAAGATTTTCTGAGAAAACTATATGACACTGCATAATGGTCTGCGCGGTCAACTCCACCCATAGATTTAATGTAATTTGTTGCAATGTCTGGCTTGTCAATCGATATTTCTTCACCACTACGTATTTTTCTATTTACTTGGGTAATTTTTGCTGTATCCCAAGTACTCAGCATGGTGACAACTTTTTTGTCTTTCCATGCTAACACTAATGTGTTACGTTTCCTCAGAGCAATTCTATTTTTTATAGTAAATTTCGGTTTTTTAATTTCTTCAGGTAATCCTTTTCGGTTTGGTTTTATCGTGCCCGTAAGATGGCATTTCAGTTTTAGCAATTCGGTAGCTAAAGATAAACTTGTATAATACCGATCTGTAAACATATGATATCCTTCAGCTGATGAAATTTTTTCTAATAATTTTTTATATAAGTATAAAGGTATTCTGGTAGTTACTGGAAGTTCCGAATTTGGAAGATTTTCTGTTGTTATAGAACCATAGTATGGCAGAATAGAGTACACATATCCAGATTTCGAATCGGCTAAAACATATATTCTTATACCCCATTTAGTTGGTTTTATGGGATTATAGGTAATGAAACCAATTTTGCCTTTAAACTGAACTACTGCTTCATCTACCGAAATACATTGTTCTGGTATAAAGTGCTGTGAAAACTTAGAATCTATGTATTCCAAAAAATTACTTGCTCTTTGAATTCGCGTCTTCAAAGATGGATACCCAGGCGGAATTTCCTTCAAGTGTATTCAAAATATTTGATTGAAACGATCCCTTGTGAATGTATCAGAATAGAATGGAATTCTGCTAATATTGCTTGTTGAGCAATATTCAAATTTATTTTCTAACGGCATTGTGCCCATATTGAAAATTACAGAAAGAAAAGGCCAAAATTCTTCTTTTTCTACATTTTTCCAATTATTCCAAATTGATCGTTTTGTCAATCTCTTTCCACTTATTTTGCTATTTGCATAATTATTAGTTTCTTTTATTATATTATCAACTAATTCATCAGTAAAATACAACTTGAATATATCAATAGGCTCAACAATATTAGGAGAAATTTGTGGCCCTGTAACTTTTGGAGATACTGTAAATTTTATTTGTTGAAAAATATCATCTCGTTCAGTAACATTTTCCCATTCGCTTGAGTCGTCATTATCACCGTTTATATTTTTGCTCTGGCTGAGTTCATCATCAGTATCACTATCCGTAATACGCATAACACGTTTTTTTTTTAGGAAGTATGTCACTATCAGAACTATCGTAATTATCACTTTCATGTTCATCTACTCCATTTCTCCAATTTTCTTTTTCAAACACATAAAATTCATCTTCGTTACTAGAAAATTCCAGGTTTCTACTGGTACTTGGTTCTTCAACACTCCTTTTCTTTGCCATATTTTATAAGGCTTAAATTATGAATAGAAAAAATAAAAATAGCGCGCATGTACGCACGACTTCGTTTCTCTTCTAACAGATAGTGCTCCGAAAATGACGATAACAAACTTTATTAATCGTAAATAAAATGATGTATTTTCGCTCGATGCTCGGAGAGGAATGAGAGGAATGCGCACCAGAGTGTGACAAAAAACAATTGCCGATTGCCCTTCATTGCTGCATGTATAATTAAAGCCAAACCTACAGTTTCCTAAAATATCACGTCATGCCGCGTGTATGGCGGCATTCGATTTTTTTAGAATATTTACAATGTCGCGAGTATGGCGGCATTCGTTCATTAAGGGTTAAGTTTCATTTTTGTAGAGATACTCAGAGTAAAGGGTTAATTTTAATTAAGTTTGTTCTGACAGACGAAAATGCGGCGGATATACTGACAAAGCCTTTGGTGAAGGATCGACATATAAATTGCGTGCGTTCATTAAACATGTTAACCATTTAGTTTGTAATGAGTGTGCTCTGATGATATACATACATATCTCCATAAAGGGAGTGTTGGAGTATCGCGATATGTCATTAGATGTCGCGAATTAACAAGATCGTTTTTCATTTGTTAATACATCGCGAATCGAGGGGACACGCATTTTGGCGCCAGTGCGAGTGAAGACGCTGTACGCTAAAGATATAATGTATAACACACACTCTAAAGTTTATAATAAAACTGCGTAAAACCAACATTATAGAATATGGAAAAATTTCGCGCATGAAATATCAAATCTTGTACCTACGTTTTTACAAATTAACCTATAGGCATGGGACATAATTATCAAAATGTGTCCTTTAATTCATAATCAATTGTCCACACCGAGGTATAAAAAACTGTTTAAGTACGCATGGTTACGGTGTGGTTGCATCAGTAACAGACCGGAACATTTTGATAATCCTGTTGACTTTAGTTTCAATCAAATTAAAACTATGTCACTTTTACAAAATATGCGCTGACAAATACTGATATCCATTTCGACTTTATAATACATAACATTATTACATCTATGGGATGAGGACTCAGCAGCGAAAAACAGCAACACTACTTTTCCACCTTTAACTTTCCGTTTTATTTAACAAGAGTGGCCTACGACCGAACTCTAAGACTCATAGTGATGAACTGACTAACTTTCGTACTGTCACAGACGCTGATAATGCGGATTTCTCAAACGCGGAGAATCAGCATATTAGGAATATATACATATAGAGCGAACGCGCAGCGGCGCGACACGAATAATATACGTGAAATGAACTATTCACCGTTTGTTTACTGACCAGTGGTAGTTAAGTATTTGTGTTTAGGAGTGTTTACCCAAAGTTATTTGTATAATTGTGAATAAATAAAAATAGTATTTGTCGTTGACGAACTATCAACGGCAAACCATTTCTTTTTTAAAAAAAAGTGTTCTTTATTGAGGACGTGACAGTACTTAAAACACGCACCCCCACACACCCTGACGCATTCTCACTCGGAATCATTCTTTCTTCTTCCAAATCGAATCGCTTTCACTCTAAACCAATCATTCAACGATACACGCGTATTTCTCAGGCATTCTTCGAACTCGGACACCCAACGCGACACTCGAACTAATGATCGAAACATTCTCTCGCAAACGCTACGCAGCATCCACTCGGACTCAGGCAAACAATTCGTTAACGCATCTCATTCACACCTAAAATCTTTAAGCCTAGACTAAATATAATAAATTAGGCAAGGACGTGGCGGCCGCTAAATTGATGCCACACATCTTTTACGTTTATTACCGTTTATAATTGTTAAATTATTAATAAATTTAGCATATAGCGACATCTTACAGTATTAGAAATGATGTACGATGTTAGTAACAAAATAACTGAATATTGCACTTCCGTCTTGTCGTTATGAAAATGTAAGCGTTCGTGATATGTTTGATTTGAAGAAAAAGTAATCCCTGTTTAAATGGTTAATCTTTAAGTTAAAATGTTTGTTGTTTGTGTTCTTTATTAAATAATTTGTTCGTGTTCAAAAGTGCATTATTAGTTTTTTTTTATTTTCCATAATTCTGATTATTTAACAATAATACATTAGAAGAGCATTTCAAAATAAAAGACATAATTTTTAAAATTATAAAAAAATGATATTTTCAGAGTTACTATACATATATTTTACAATCGTGAGGCAATTCTTAATCAACAGATGCAATTCCTTTAATTGTACGTACTTTATATTATCATGAAGATATTACACTTCTTACACGTACAATTTTCGCGTTAAAATCTTCCGTGCGTCGAAAACTGCAACCAGTACGCGCCCGTAACGCGGAACAAATAGGATATCTGACTCGGACCCCATATTCTTATAAAGACACCTATGGACCCTTTAGTTCTTTTTTTAAATAAATTAGTCGAAAATATGTAATATAATACAATTATGTATAGAAATCAGTCGTGCCTCGAACGGAAGGAATAAAATGTACGCATAACTCTAACTATAGTAATATATTTTGCATGAGAGAAATTAAAAATTCCAATTTATCCGTATTTTGTCTTTGGACCCATAGTTTATGTATGTGAAATTTGATCAAAATAGTACAACGTTTTATTAAAAAAATTTGCAAAATAATGTTAATTTTTAACATATTTTTTAAACAAATAAATTTTCCAAAAATCCACTTACGCCATATAAATTGGCCTTCTAAAACAGAAAAATTTGCACTTTGAATTTTTTGTTTAGGCCTAATAGTTCCCGAGATATTTGCGAAAATAGTTTCTTCAACCCCAACTTTAAGGGTTATTTTCATTACTTCAGAGTGGCTGTTTGCCAATAAAAAAAATACGTGTCAAATATTTTTCGAGTTCTATAACATATAAAAATTGCATCAAAATCGGCATGTATCAATTGGGTGATGTTCCTTGTAAGTCCGACATGTCCTTCCCACAACCCTTTTTATACCCAAAAGTGGGGGCAAAGAGTGATGGTGGAAACAGTGGGAACAAATCAACGCGAAATTTTCGTATGACAAATCTCCCTCACGTTGATCCAGAGTTACCAGAAAATTCCTATAAGATACCAAATAAAAAGATCTCTATTGGTGGGAAAGCTAGGCTAGACTAAACTGTTTATTCGCGTTGGACTCGGGCTACACTCGAACAACCAGTTTGAAAATGTTCAGCTTATGTAACAGATACAACAAAAGATATAAATTGCGTTTTGCCCTGGAATTACCCTTCAAGTAAGGGTAGAACGTTCTATAAGCTGATATGTTCATTGATTAATATGGTCTGAAGGCACTTTTGACCTACTTATTCGGCTTTACCCTTTAGAATCTTGGAAGCCTGCGGAAGTAGGAATAGAAAACATGAAAATTTCAAAATTCAAGAATTTGTAATATTGAAATTTAATATTTAGGAATTTAAAAGTTTAAAGAATTAGAGAATTGGAAGTTTGTGGATTTTAGAGTTTGGGAATTTAAGGATGAGGAAGTTTGAAATTTTGAAATATTTGAATACTTGGAAAATTTAGGAATTAGATTTACTATAATTACTCTACTTATTATTTAACATTAGTATGTCATAATGTGTACGATCGCAAACTCACGTAATAAGATAAAAATGAATCGAGTTACTACTTGATTGCTATGCTCGATGGCAACTTAATGTCGTGAGGACGAATTTGGATTGGTACAAAGAAATGGTGATTGTTAAAAACTCAACACTTAATTTATTTTGACATAACTCCTGGTGCTGAATGTTACAAATGTGTTTACGTTAGTGTTTTAATTTATTCTGTCGTTGCTTCATTTTCTCTCAAAAAAGGAAAGCTTTTGGAATAAGAATCTATGGTGGGATGGTAGGAAAAGTAGGAAGGAACTATGTAAAAAGAGGGAACTTTTAAGTTCCATTGAGTCCCTCAATGTTTATGAAGTTGTAACGACTCTGGAACCTAAGTTCAGATAGTTACTAGCGCTAAGAAGGTAAAGAGCGGCTTTTACCAATTAAACGACTCGTTTTGGAAAATAACTAAATCTAAAGATTGTGGGATTCGTGTGGTGTGCGGTTAAGGAGTGAAATCCACAGGTCAATATCTTTCAACAATAAGGGTTTATTCAATAAAATAACGAAGATGATGAATTTAACAAATAACAAGTAACAAATAACAAAATATGAAAAGTATACTGGTTTGATTAAAGAAACTAGAATAGACTTGATATAATATTAATAATAGAAATAACAGAACTTGGCAAATT